GTTTAGGGTTTGAGGGTTTAGGGTCCCCAAACCCCACTTTTTTGTAGGTTCTTATTCTAAACCCATAATATGGGATTTATAGGGACCCTACAAAAAAGTAGGTTTTGGGTTCTTAAGGTAAACCCCAGGCCCTAATTTCCTAAACGCACAAAAATCTAAAAAGCTCTACAAGCCTAAAGCGCCACCAAATCCTGAAGGCTAAAGGATCCGGCAGCCCGAAAAACCATGAAATGAGCTCATTCCCTGAGCAGCATGTACAGCTTCTGTAGCCCAATCACCAAATCCCTAAACCAAGACCCGATCCCCGTTAGTCCCACGCCCTGCACCCTCGATGATATAGGGGCTTTTATTATTTCCTTACTATTCTGGAGGTTCCTAAACCCTAAACCCTAAACCCTAAACCCTAAACCCTAAACCCTAATTATATTTATGGTATAGTGGGCCCCAAAACATCCCAAAACCCTGTTCTAATTTTAAAGGCCCCTATATTAGACCAAAATCCCTCCCACCCTAAACACCGGACACCAATCTCCAATGACCCAAAACCCTGCACCCCAGACACCAACCCCAAAAAATCCCTAAACCCAGAACCCCCTCCCCAAAGCCATAGCCCAAACCCCCAGACATCTGGACTTCCATGGGACATGGAAGCCTCAAGATGTACCAACACTCTCCATCTTTTTTCATATGCTTTCATCTAACAGCCTGCTTGATTTACTGAAGCCCCTATCAATCTTGAACATCGATAGCCAATTTCACATCTCCACGGATGATTTGCTGAAGATTCTTCAGGGGATCTACGGTATTCGGATTGTCAGGGCTCCAGAGGGTTTCGTATCTTATAGTGATCTTTTTTCACAAGATCCCAATACTCAGGATACTGCCCCCACTCAGTAGCAGTTGAATAGTTAATAATGTCTCGAATCAAGAATACAGATATAGAAGGCCTTCCATAGTACCATTACTATAAGCATGGACTGCTACTGTAAGGGGGGAGGCAGTACAGTACCCAAGTCATGCTCCGTGGTGGAGGGTGTCGGGCTTTTTTCCTGGAAGACAGGCTTCGGGTTTGAGGACTGCATGACCGAGTTTAGGACATAGGGTTTAGGGCCTAGGGTGTTTAGGGTTTAGCGGTTTAGGGTTAAGGGTTTTAGGGTTTAAGGCTGTAGGGGGGCTTTTGGGCTCAGGGTTTATGGTTCCGGAGTCCGTGAGCCCAGGAATGGATTGCCATTGCGAGCGCTTTGATCCAGTACCATTACTGACTAGGGTGTGCTTTCTTCTTCATGTTTCGATAACTATTGCTAGCGCAGTTCTGCAAACACAGATGTTCGTGCCATTACCGGTGCTGTTTGTGTTGCGATATTCCTTCTTGCTACCAAGTTACTAGCACCATCATTGCTGAGGTCGCATAGCCAAGGGCTAAGGTAAATCCCGTTTACCCTGCGAGCCATCTGTTTCATGTACCTTTGCATTTCAGGGTGGTCACTCTACAGCTTAACCCGCGTGTTCCTCACAGTCGGAGTTCCCTAAACCCTAAAACCCTAAACCCTAAACCAAGCATCTCCCTGACCTCGCTGAGTTTGTAGGACGGGCGCCTTAGGAACTTAGGTTAGAGGCTCCCCATGCTCAGCCCGAAGTACCCATGTACCACGCCACCTGCCCCAGGTGGCCGTTCGTAACTTTGAAGCCTCGAGGCCGTCATCCATGAGCTCCCCTAAAGCTTAAATCCTGAACTAAAGCCTAAGCCCTAAATGCAATTAACCTGTAATCCCCATCCCGAAGTCCTCTGTCCTTAACCATACTTCCTGAAGGACGTAACCCTGAAACCCAACTCTGACAACGCCCCTCGAGCCTGAACCTGAACCATGAATCGGGCAGGGCGTAGGTTCGGGCTGATCTAGGGGGCTTACCCTGTGCGACCTTATTGTTGGGTCCTTAAGGGGTCTAGGACGCTAACTATAAGGTCTTTGGAATCCTAGAGTTAGGCTTAGGGCGTTCAGGGTTGAGGGTTTACGGCCCCAAATCCCTAAAGAATCCCTAAGAAGCCCTACATATAGCCTTCAATCCTTCCCGCCCTCAGCGTGGCTGGGCCGCCGAAGACTGAGACTGAGACGGCGGGGGCGCCGTAAGGAATGAATTTTAGTGATTTTAGCGTCTAAAATTCTAAGGAGTCGAGATGGGTTCGATAATTATAAGGAGTCGAGATGGGTTCTGTCAGTATTTTGGTTTTGGGGGATTGGGTTTCCGGTTTAGGGTTTGGGTCTCAATGCAATGGCGGTATGAAGCTTGCATCTTATTCTGAAGCTTCCTAGACCCATCCATTCAATTCCGAGCACTCAGATGCCTCATTCAGACTTTGTCCCAAGGTTTTGGTGGTTAGTAGTTAGAGCAGCAGTGCAGAGCTCGGAGAAAGGTCTGAATAAATAGAAATGTGGTATACTGGTATCCCTGTGGTGTGTTGAAGAAGTTATACCACGGTTGCTGATATAAATCCGCCCTTACCCATAATAAGGAATATACCATATGGGTGGTTGTCAAAATTATGGTCCCTTTTGGGGTCCTTATTATAATACGGCACCTATTATTTAGGGTCCCCCCAAAAAAGACCCTAATTTTGACAAATACCCATATAATTCCCATAGTTTAGGGTCCTTAAGGTAATGCGCAGGGTTTATATCGTCGACAGTACTATATGGGGGTTTCCGAAAATAGGGGACCCTAACATAGTACCCTAAATAGTAGGATCCTTATTATAAGGACCCTAAACCCTAAACCCTAAACCCTAATTTCGGAAACTCCCAGATCTTCCCGGGAGGAGCCCCCGCTCCGACACCTGAACCCAACCTTTAGAGGCGGTGGTTTTAGTATAGGGTTTAGGGTTTAGGGTTTAGGGGTTTAGGGGTTTAGGGTTTAGGGTTTAGTCTAAATCTTAGTGGCTGAGTAGGTAACCTTTAACCCCTTTGGGGTCTATATAATCCTACCATAATTGGAAAGGTTGACCTGTTTTGGGCTAGGGTACTCAGCCCCTCAGAAAATAATTACCTATACCATACTTTGGGGGACTTCCATATTATAGTTATTGTATAATGGGGACCAAGACCCTATTCTAATTAGTAAGGCCCCTACATTATCTTCCCCGGAACCCTTCTCTCTGACAAATTGAACCCGACCTAAACCCTAAACCCCTAATCCCCTAAACCCTAACCCCTAAACGCC